TATATATAAAGAGAGAGAACAATTTTCAAAAGAAAAACATGTTGCTTCTTAATCAGTTAGTTTTGTCTGTACAAACTTAATGTTTTTTTTTTAAAAAAAAGACAATGATTTCAAGATTCTCATAAAAATTGAAAAGTGAAAAAAAACAGAGTTACGGCATATAATCCCACACTAAAGATACTATAAGCTTTCTGACTATTTGTAAATAAGAAAGTTATTTTGAAGCAGAAATTAAGTGAGCAGTTTTCTCTATAATGCTTCACACCTACATATATGATCGAACTCCATTTTGCATCACAGTCTTTTAATCATGACTACTTTCCTTTTAATAAACCAATGGGGCAAAACAAGTAAAATAGGTTCAAGTCTATATATGTTGATATAAGTCAATTGAAAAGATATTACTAAAAGGAATAGCAGTTTACTACTGAAAATTCCTGATCTATCAAGGCATACGTTTGAGGCCAGGTCTACAAGATTTAATCAATGGTGTCTTTTTTATGATAACTTGGGTGAAGCCTTTAATTAGCTGATCGGTGAACAAGACTTGTGGCTATATAGTAAACTAAGAGAGGAGTTTAACTTAAATGAAACCTTTAATTTAGCTGATTTGTCCCTTTTTGTATGATATTCTTTATTGAGATAAAAAGGGCAGCCCGATACATTAAGCTCCCGCTATGCGCGGGGTCCGGGAAAGGGCCGGACAACAAGGGTCTATTCTTTATTGAGACGTCTCAAGATATTTGGTGTTATTTAATTACTAATTATATTCAGCATTTACAAGAACTGAAATATCATTTAACCAACGAGGCAACTTACCGCTGGGGTCTCTTTTGGGACAATTGTTTAGTATGGACTTGTGGCGGTTTGCCGTATTCTTATAGTTGGTTTGAAACTCTATATAAATGATAGTATGTCTTTTAACAAGTTGCATTTGCTATTAGACAAAGATGAGAAAGAGAGAGATGGAGAGAATATTGACACTCATTTCTTTGTTTCTTCTCTATGTTGCCCTGGCAGTTCAAGTGGTTTCTTTTTCCTTTGGGCATTCACTTTGCTCTTCACATGATTCCATTGCACTTCTACAGTTTAAGCATTCACTTGCCGTGGCGGACTATCCACTTTTAAATTATTATGACTTCTTTTGCCCATATTCTTATCCTAAGACGACGTCTTGGAATAGGAGTAGTATGGATTGTTGTAGGTGGGATGGAGTTACCTGTGATAGATTCACTGGTCATGTGATTGGTTTGGACTTGAGTTGTGGCAAACTTGAAGGAACTATCCATCCCAATAGTAGCCTTTTCCAGCTTCGTCATCTTCAAACGCTCGATCTTTCCCTTAACAACTTTTCGTTATCTCATATTCCACGGGGCATAGGTCAGTTGGTCAGTTTGATGCATCTCAACCTTTCTTATAGTATGTTCGAAGGAGGGATTCCATTAGAAATCTCACACCTGTCCAATTTGGTTTCGCTTGATCTTTCTTATCTCTTCTCTCTCCAGTTTAGCCAGGAAGGATTCAACATGCTCTTTCGAAACTTAACCAAATTAGAGGTACTTTCTCTTTCTTTTGTAAACATCTCATCCAAGATTCCCATGAATGTATCATCCTCTTCTTCTTTGAGATATCTAGATCTTGGAAAAACTGGCTTGCATGGCAACTTGCCAAAAAGCATTTTCCTTCTACCCAATTTGGAAACTCTCAGATTGTCAGGAAATCTTGATCTCACTGTTTCTTTCCCCAAGTTTAACTGGAGCAGTAGCCATACACTAACTGAGCTAGATCTCTCTCGCAATAATATTTCTGGAGGACTACCTGGTACACTTGGAAGTCTCAAAGCCTTAAAACTTATGAAGCTTCATTGGTGCAACCTCGTCGGACCTATTCCCGAATCCATCAGGAACCTTTCACAAATCACTGAACTGGATCTTTCATACAACCATTTGGAGAGCAAAATTCCTGATGCTTTTTCCGACTTGCAAAAGCTTACATTCTTAGCACTGGATGGCAACACCTTCTCTGGCCTGTTCCCATCTTCCCTTGTCAACTTGACAAAGCTTGAAGATTTGAGATTGAGTAACAATTCACTCAATGGTCCACTTCCTTTAACTGCTAACGGGCTTCAAAATCTATATCGACTAGTTTTGTCTAATAACTCACTCAACGGCTCAATCCCGTCTTGGATGCTTAGTCTTCCTTCATTGACTGAGTTACATCTGGAGAGCAATCATCTCAGTGGACCACTTCCTGAGTTTAAGCCCAACTCTATAGAATGGCTTGATTTGTCTCAAAATCAACTCTGTGGTTCCATTCCTCAATCGCTTAGAAATCTTGTGAACCTAAGCGATCTTAATCTTGGACAAAATAAGTTGGTCGGGGAGGTTGGAGCAGAAATGTTTTCAAGCATGACAAACCTCCGATATCTTGATCTTTCATCAAATAATTTGAGTGGTGAGGTAGGAGCAGAAATGTTTTTCAGCGTGACAGACCTCATCCGTCTTGATCTTTCTCATAGTGGTTTATCATGGAGTAGCAGTAAGGACAACATCACCATTCTTGCACTTTCGTATTTAAGTTTAGGCTCTTGTCGTGTGAAAGATTTTCCAAATTTCTTCTTGAACTCGACGAGCTTAAAGTACTTGGATCTCTCGGAGAACGAAATTCACGGCCACTTCCCGAAATGGTTTGATGGTCTGAGTTCAATGAGATTCCTTAACCTCTCTCACAACTACCTTACAAGCTTAGACCATCTACCTTGGCAGACAATGACAGTTGTTGATCTTCAGTCAAACTCACTCACTGGACCTCTGCCGTCCTCCCTTTGCACATCAACTTACCTTTCATTTCTGGATTTGTCTTATAACAATCTGAGTGCTGAAATCCCCAATTGTTTGTTGACTTCTTTCTATCTGACGGTCCTAGACTTACGAGCAAACAACTTTTATGGTCCCATTCCAAACAAATTCTCGAACTTTTGTGGGCTAGTTCATATTAGTTTGAGCAAAAATCAGTTGGAAGGTCCAATTCCAAGATCGCTAGTCAACTGTGCATCCTTAAAAGTCCTTGATTTGGGATACAACAAAATCCACGATCCATTTCCCACTTGGCTGGAAACCTTGCAAGAGTTAGAGGTTCTCATATTGAAATCTAATAGATTTTATGGATCAATCGTTGCTATCCAAACAAAATCGCCATTTCCAAATCTGAGGATCTTTGACCTCTCTGGAAATTCTCTTACTGGCCCTTTACCTACCCGGCTTCTAAAAGGTTTCAAAGCTATGGTAAACATGGATACACACAAATCAAAATTGGAATATTTTGAGGAAGATATTGGTTATGTTAATCGCGCAAAGCATGCGGAAATTCTTGAGTATCGGAGTCCTCCTAGTGCTGGTGCTAGTGATGCAACATATGAGGAATCAGTGGATTTAGTGATGAAAAATCAAGAGACTAAATTCAGAAAGATCTTGAAGATATTCACAACAGTTGATTTATCAATGAACAAGTTCGAGGGAGAAATCCCAAAGTCCATTGGGAACTTGAATTCACTTCTGCTGCTGAATTTATCTCACAACAACCTCACTGGACATATTCCTGTTGAAATGAAGAAGATGGGCACACTTGAAGCTTTGGACCTTTCATTTAACCAGCTTACTGGAAAAATTCCAGAGGAATTGACAAGTCTAACATTTCTTGCGGTTTTAAATCTGTCGCACAACCATCTTGTTGGACCTATTCCTCATAGTAATCAGTTCAATACATTTCCAAATGATTCATATTTTGGAAACAGTGATTTGTGTGGGTTTCCATTGTCAACTGAATGTGGGCATCGTAAGAGTGCATCAGTACCAGGATTATTGGTTGAACAAGAAGAAGATGAGCCGAGTTTTCTTAGTGAAATGACTTGGAAATCTGTCTTAATTGGGTATGGTTGTGGCTTGATATTTGGATTTACCGTCCTGTATCTCATATACTGTTTTGAAAGGCCAAGATGGTTCGTAGACTTTTTTGCAACTATCACTCATGAACTGACATACAGAACAAAGAGGAGAGGTCAAAGACGTAGGAACTTTCACAGAAGAAGACACTAAAATCTATGAGGTAATATTTTAAAATCAGGTTACTGTTCCTAATTCATTCTTGTTCTTGTTTGCATAATCAAGTATACAAATGATGTTCTTATTCTAGTAGTAGGAATTCAATTTCATGAGAAAAAAGAAAAAGCGATTAGGAGGTAAAGAGGGTAATTTGCACTTGCCTTAATTGCAGAGCAATAGAATTCCGTAGATATTCAAAAAGTTAAAATTGTGTTATTTTTTCAGTCAAGAATCACAGGAAGTGTACACAATATCCGAAGACCGTAATGTAATTCATTGTTTATTATTGCTCTGCAGATGGCAACCAGAAAGTATCAAGAAGCAAGAGAGGCCATTAGTGGCTTTGGAAAATAGTGGTATTAGTATATTTCTGCAATATGTGCAAAAAGTAAGAGAATGCAGATCACTGTTAGTGTTTCTTAAGTAGTACTCCTATTGTATAAGCAACTTGTTATCCCGTTTGACTAAATTCTACGTTGGTGTGTTTCGTGCTTGCTTCCCTTTTAACCAATTCTATTTTTAACTCTCAAGTTTAAGTATCTTCTCGCGCCTAAAATTTGGCAGTCTTTTAGTAGTTCAGAAACGGAAGTTTTCCAAACAGCTAAATCACCTGTGTATACTATTTACGGAATAGGGCCATAAATGCCCCTAACATATTGAAAATGACTCAAAAGTATCTTTAGTTAACCTTTGGGAGCAGAAATACCCTCAACCTTTTTTTTGGGCTCAAATCTGCCCATGAGATTTAACAGACCAGTCATGGTCAAATTTACACTTTAAATTTTCACGTGGCACGTTATAAGTGTGCCACGCGTATTAAACAATAAACAAAATTAAAATCCATGTTTAAATAAAGCTACCCGACCCGACCCGTTGACCCATAATACATATAACCCATTTAACTAAAACCTAAAAACGAGCGGTAAGTCAGGTTAAACACACACCCCCATTCCTTCTTCCTCATTTTTGCTTCTTTAATTATGTAATTTTTCTTCTTCCTCTTTTTTCTTCCAATTATTTTATCATAATCTCCCGTTATCTTTGTATAAAAATTTGTTCTTTTGTGATAGAATATCCAAAATATTTGTTTCCTCTCAAAGCTCAACCAATTGAGTAGATGTAGTTGCGGACAGGTTACGAGTCAATTTACAGCCAAAACTCCTATTAATTTATGGAGTAAGTAATATTTTTTGCCGAGAAACGTGTAAGTTTGTTTTTTAATGTTTCGAATGATTTGAAATTTTATTTTGATAAGGTTGCCTCTTGTGGCTATTGGGTATCTTTTTAAAGATGGATTATTGTTTAATACACGTGGCACACTTATAACGTGCCACGCAAAAAGTTAAAGAGTAAATTTGACCATGATTGGTCTATTAAATCTCATGGGTAGACTTGACCCCAAAAGAAAAATGTTGAAGTTATTTCTGGTCCCAAAGGTTAACTGAGGGTATTTTTGAGTCATTTTTAATACGTTAAGGGCATAACGGCTAACAAGGGACTGTATGCTTTTATCTAATTTATTATTATCACAGGCTTCTAGAGCTGTTTGGTATGAAGGAAAAGGTTTTTTTAGAAAATATTTTCTTGAAAAATAAGTAGTTTTGTTACTTTCTTGTGTTTGGTTAGGTAGCAAAAAATATTTTAAAAAAAATATAGTATAATTTAGACAAACACTATGAGAGATAAAATGCGTAAGGGTGAGTGAGGAGGGTGGTAGGTTGGGTTCTTTATTTTTAAGATCGATAATAATTGTTCTTTGTTTTTGAGAGGGATAATCAAGATCTTGCTATGAGAAAATATATTTTAGCTTTAGTAAATATTTACTTTATACATTTTTTTTTTGTATGCAATCAATTAAGATTGCAAATTGTTGATGAATAATATCCTCTTAAATTCATTCTATAACAATAACAAATTCCTCTATATTTTGCATTAATAATGAATAAAGGACATACTCAAATAATCGAAATACATGTTTTCTAACAAGGCTTAGTAATATATATATATATATATATATNAAGCACACACACCAAAAATATAGTATATAAATGGTAAATGTTAGATGAGATACAATTAGATAATTTTTCTTGAGGAAAAAATCACTATTGTTTAGTGGTTATTAACTTCTTATAGCTACCATATACATAATTACTTCCTATAGCTACTATTCAGTTGTTACGGTAGTGTATTCATTGTATTCGTGTTGCTGTATTCATGAATACAGCAGCAAAAAATGCCTAAAATTAGTGCCTCTTATTATAACTCAATAAAATCAATTCTAACATGCATCATTATCAACCCAATTAATTAGAATAATTTTTCAGTTGTATTTAACTTTTGTATTCAGTGTGTTTCAATATTTGTTTTTTTACTTTTGCATTCATTAGATTCAATATTTGTATTTATTGTATTCGCTATTTTTATATTCAGTGTATTCAAATGTATTTGCGTTAATATTATTTTAGTTATTCCTAATACATGTTATTACTGCTGTATTCAGTATATTTTATTGGTTGTATTCACTGTATTTCTATTTGTATTCAATGTATTTTATTGTATTTCACTGTATTTTAAAATTAAATGTATTCACTGTTTATATTCTGTTCTATTTTAATATTTATATTCAGTATATTTCAATGTTTATATCCTGTATTCATGAATAATGTATGTACAATATGCATGAATATAGGTGTATTAAGTTGTATTACAAAAACACAGATCTTCGAAATACATAAATACATGCAAAAAATGTATTTATATAAAAATATAATGCGTTTGAGTGAACTTGTATAAAATGCAATGTATTTGTATCATTGTATGTAACTAAATAGCAAATAAGAGAAGAAAGTTCGTCGGAGATGGCGTTTTCCGGTCAAGAATAGAAGAAAGTTCGTCGGATCCGTATAACAAATTTATGATAAGAGTTTATCACGTTGCTCCTTTCCGTTAGAAAAATTCACTCTTTTCTATATCCTGGCTGCCTTCTACTCTATTCTAATGTCTCGTCAGCCATCAATATTAGTGCGTGTATCTTGAGTTTTTCGAAGAGAGATATTCTTCTTTCTCGTCGGCCATCAATAGTACTGGTTTTGAGTTGCTCGAAGAGAGAAGGAAGAGAGAGAGAAAGAAGAAAAAAACTGAGAGAGAATCAAAGAGAGAGAGTTTCTTCTTTCTCGTCGACCATCAATATTACGGCTTGAGTTGCTCGAAGAGAGAGAAGGAAGAGAGAGAAAGAAGAAAAAATCTGAGAGAGAATTTTGTGTTAATTGAAAGAAGAGAGAGGAAAAATATAAATAGTTATTTCATGCCTTAGTGGTAGTATATACCATAAATACCTATTTAGTTATAAAATATAAAGGGTAGCTATAGAAAATAATATTTTAAAATAATTTTTGTTTATAATAAATATGGTGTATACCTTTGCTATAAGAGTTAAAATTTCCTAATTTCTTTGTCTCTCATAAAATAAAGGTAATATAGCATAGTTATCTAATAATATTTAACTGATATTATTATAATTTGATCGTTTTTTTAATATGTTCAAATAATTTTCATTTTGATTTCTATTATGTAATCAATAATCTCATTTTAGCCATTGATTTAAATTTAAGGGAGTTAGTGTCACATTTAAAAGGTGAAGTAGGTATTATTTCTCAAACCCAAACTAAAGAAGATAGTGTAATTTAACTCGGTATTATTTTTCAGCTATTCCATTTATTCTTCTTCTTTTGGCTTTGAAGAATAAAATAAACGAACAAACAAAACATATATGTTTGGTCGAAGCGAATTAGCGATATAGTAGTCTTCTCTTCTTCAATTCAACAACAACGGAGTTCTTGTTCACAATTAGAGGTTGTCACTGAAACCCCCCCTTGTAATTAAATCTTTCAAGTTTTCTAAACACTGCTATATATATAATATATACATAATATTCACAATTAGGATTCTAGGGTTTGTGGGTATCTCTGGTATGTTCCTTTTTTGCTCCTAATCTTATATAGTTATTTATTCATGGATCCATATTCAATTCTTTGTTAATACAGTTTCCCCGCTTTGTAATTCAATTGTTTGTAGCTTAGTTGTTTATAGCAAAATACATGGGAATGTGAGGGGAAAGAGTTTTTTTTTTTTTTTTTTTTTTTTTAAAATTGTTATATCAAGAAAGAAAAGAAGAAGGGAATAATACCTTAATGATGGAGTTTATACCCTCCATCTCAATTTTTAAAGATAGGGAGCTCACCTATTTAGCTGGCATTCANTTTGTTTCTTCCTGAATTGGTTATACATGATGTAGGTTTATTCTGTGATAGATACTGATATATGCTTTTTAAAGTTTGTTTCTACAGTTTAGTTATATTGGGTTATCCATATTTTGTTTCTTGTTGCAGTTTATAGGGGATTCTTGAAGTTCAACTATGATTTACACGGCATTAGACACATTTTATCTAACAGAGGAGCAGCTTATAAACTCCCCTTCTAGGAAAGATGGTATCGATGATGTTACGGAAACAACACTTAGAATCTATGGCTGTGATCTTATCCAAGAAAGTGGGATTTTGCTCAGACTGTATCCTTTTCTTTATGTCAGTTAACATGAAGATATATGAATCTGATATAATCATACCAGCTGAGGTACTTTTCTAATATAAAGTTCACTGCTTTTGGTTTTGGGTGTCTCCTTAACACTATAATTTGCAGACCCCAAGCTGTAATGGCCACAGGTCAAGTACTATTTCATCGCTTTTACTGCAAGAAATCATTTGCTCGTTTTAATGTGAAGGTTTCTTTCTCTTCCCCTCTGCCCCAACTCCCTCTTATCTCTAAAGGAAAAGTGTGCTGTCCATGCTGACGTGTGGTTCTTTTGTGTTAACTTTTGCAGAGGGTTGCTGCTAGTTGTGTTTGGCTTGCATCAAAGCTCGAAGAAAGTCCTCGAAAAGCAAGGCAGGTGCTTAATGTTTTCCACAGAATGGAATGTAGGAGAGAGAACTTACCTTTAGAACATCTGGATACATCTTCAAAGGTAAGATATCTCATTTACTTGAGAAAAAGAGTTTATTTCTGTCTACATGTTAGTTCGCTTTACTCAATGATATATATTGGTGTGGTGTGTTCTATATCGGTATTATTATTTTTTTGTTCCTGAAATACCCAATTGGGAAGGGTCTGCATATGCAACTTTCCTGCAAGTACTATCAAAACTTTTTATCTTCAATATAAGTGGAACTGATAGTACCCATGAGATCAGATCAAAGTTTTGATGAGCTGCAAGTCGCTAGACTGCAATAGAGACTAATATGTCAACCTTTTAAGTTTTAGTTCATGAGTAAAATGGTCTATCTGCAACTTTCCTTTTAACCCTTTTTCCTTTTTTTGGGGGGGGGCGCGGGGGTTCAGATGCATTTGTGTCCACCAAGTTAGCATTTTCTTCCATGTAACGACATCAAGTTGATAACACAAGATAAAGATTTTGTCTCTTTTGCAGAAATACGTTGATTTGAAAGCAGACC